TCTATGATTCTCTATAAAATCCTCACACACTCACATTCGTGTTACCTCAACAAACACAACTTGAGAATGTGTTCAGTAAGACAACATGTAATTCCACTTTAAGGCTTTGGTCTTATTTTACTTGCCCTGAAAAAAGCCAAACTCTATATATCATTAGAAATATATAAGACTATAGTGTAAATCATTTTGATATCCATATGAAACCACAGGAGTATCTTTTCCATCAAATGCATCCTTGTGAAAATTTGGTATTGGAATAGCTCAGATAAGGATGACTGGACAGATTAGGAGGTGAGACTGTTATCAACTGTATTCTTGTTTCCTGAGTCTTAAAAAGGGATGAGGCTGGAAGAGCTTGTGCCATCCAGACTGGAGCCCCTCACAGGTGGTCAGAATCACCTCATGAAGGAAACAGGAAGCTGCATTATACCAGGTCAGGTTACTTAGCCATCTAGCACACTGTTGTCTATTGCAACTGGTATTGGCTGTTTTCAGACAGAGATACTTGGCAGCATTGTTCTGTTTTTAAGCTGAAAATGCCAGCAAAATATGTGCTCTGCTACTGAGATGCAGTACTTCTGCTCAGGGGCTTAGAAATTATGGAGCATGCTCATTGCAGCTTGGCCCTAATGTTATTCAGACAAACAAAGGGGGACGTGTAGCATTAAGATGTAGCATGCCTGTCTTTCATAACTTTTTAAAATGTTTATATATATGAAGCTGTGAGACAAAATTATCACACCCTGATCACAATTTGGAAAAGCAATTCCCCTAACAAGGTTCTTAACTAGCAACCTTCTGTGCCAAGGACAGGCAGATAATGGAGGTTTCTTTCACACTGCCTTGTCAACAGAGGAACCCTTTGAATTCCAATGGGCACCACTCCCTAGAACAGCCTTCTTTAGCATGGGGGCTTTCAGATGTTTGGCCTACAAGTCCTATTATCCCCAGCCATCATAACCAATGGTCAGGGATGCCAATGGAGGCCAAAACATCTTGTGGGACCCACACTAGAGAAGGATGGCTTCACACATACCATGATATCCCCTTTACTTTGCTGGAGATTATTTCTCACCATATTTGTTCTATAGTTCCACAGTTTAAGGAATAAGTTATTCCAAAACATGAATTATTAGTGGATTTAGCTCAAAAATACAGGAGGAACTATTTCCCAGCATGGTGCTAATTTGAGAGCCAGTGTAGTGTAGTGGTTAGAGTACTGGAACAGGATCCAGGAAATCTGAGTTCTAGTCCCCTTTTGGCCACAAAGCTCACTGGATGACTTTGGCCAGTCACTGACTCAGCCTAACCTACCTCACAGGGCTGTTGTGAGGATAAGATTGAGAGGAAGCAGATTATGTAAACCTCCCTGAGCTCCTTGAAGGAAAGAAAAATAAGTAAATACTGGCTTTATTCTGCCTGAGGACTGGCTGCTCAGACATTACAGCACGCTAACCAAAATCTAAAGGAAGCCAAGCATTCAGTCAGGGTAGCAGAGTGCCTGTCTTAAGGTATGCTAGGAAGCAATGGGGATGAGACTAGAACTTTTCAGTAGTTATCTTGGAGTGAGAAGTACAGCATGACAGCAATTAAATGGTTAAGTATTGGAGGTATTCCAGAAGGAGAAAGAGAAAGATAGTTGCTTAGTCTACATTTTGGCTTCAGGAAGATAAGAAGGAGAAAAGCTGAAAATCCATAGGGCAAGAAAGAGATCTTTCTTTCATAGATCCATAGGGCAAGAAAGAGAATGATAACTCTTTCTTATGTTCTGTAGGACGACAGGGAGATTTAGAATTAAATGCTCCTGGGGTCCCTTAACCCCCTCTCCCCCAGTGTCACTGAGGAGCTCAACCTCACTGTCTTTTACAGTATCACTGGCTGCTTGATGCCAGATCTATGCTTCATTCAAAGAGGCTAACTAAGCAAAGGCTTTGGAACAACAGGACAAGGAAGTTACCATTTGAACAAACTCATACATGAGCAGGCAGAACTCTTGCTAGGCATGCATAACTGTATGAGATGTCTGGGCATGCAGATGCCTTTCTCATGATCTTGTATCTAACATAATCAAGCCATCTAAGGGGCATCCTGATTTGGCCAGCTCAGAGCTCATGCAGAGCTCCTGGTCTGAAGTATAACAGTAAATACATTAGCACCCATTGAGGGCAGAGACCTCCACCCAAAATATTTACATGAAATCTCATTTTCTACACCACCCCTGCCTTAGATTAATAACCCATGGCAGGGATTAGACAATCCCACTAGAAAGCTGTCCTCCCTCAGGCAGAATCCTTAGAACTCAGTGTTCCGTCTGTGCTTGGTCCTGAGAAAACCATCTTAGGGGACAGCCCAAGCTATTGCCTTGTGAGCTCTGTTGCTTCTCCCCCTTCCTTCCAGTGCTTCATTATTTTACATTCATTGAAGTTGAAAATCTGCTGGGAGCATATGGCTTTGCAGTGTTTGCGGGGGAAGCTGGGTGATGGGAGCGAGCAACAGGGTCAAGGTGGCAGAGCAGCAGCTGGAGCGAGGAGAAGAGAGAGGGCACCCGGGATCAATATGGCACTTCCTGAGGAGGGAGTCCAAAACGAGGAAAAGTGGAAGCTGGAACTGCTGCAAAGCGAGAGGAGTGGGTGCATGGTGGGGATCCCCGACCCCACTCGCCAAGGCTTGGCAGCACGTGGGGGCGCCTCGAGGAAAATCCCAAAGGAAGTGTGGAAGGGATAAGCGATAGCCTCTCCTCACCTTTAGTTTAGGTCTCTCTCTCCGCGTTCTGCCCCTCCAGTAAACTTTCAAGTACTGCCGAAGTTTCTGCAGCATTCCCGGTGGCTGGTTTGGGGGTGAGGAGGGAGGGAGGGAGGGAGTGCACACACCTCGGCACAAGCAAGCCCAGCATCCTCCGACTTGGGGGTGACGAATGTGAACATGATTCCTTCTCTCTGTTACTATGTTTTTCCTTTAAGGCAAACGATGTTAATGTATGAGTTGGTTTTTTTCTAAACTAAAACCTCAGTATTCAGGTTTTATTGCAGTGTTGGCACTTTGTGATAAATAAGTGTGTTCTGGGTTGCAGTTTGGGCACTCGGTCTCTAAAAGGTTCGCCATCACTGATCTAACCCATGTAGGATTTCTATATGTGCCCATGCCCATTGCTCTCCTTTCTCCATATTTGGAATTAGGATCTTCATTTTCCTAACTTTCCTTAGAGTTAATCAAAAGAATCCTATCCGAATGGCAAAGTACTTGCATAATTAAGATTCCTTTCTGTCACACTTGATTATTGTTGTGAATATGAATAAGAATAATGCTGTGCTTTCTTGATTCTAAACGCTAGTCCACTATCTGGTGGTTGTTTTCTCTGGTATAACTGTAACTTCCCAATGGTGTGCCATAATTCTTAGCCCACCCTAAACTCACACTCCTCCTCTGTAATGGAACATCACTTGTATAGCCCAGGGCATGCAGTAACATCACTTTGCATAGTGAATAGGGCTCCATGAAAACAGAGGTGATTTTCTCTGTGCATCCTTTTCCTCTTTAATTGTGTTAAGCAAAACAAAAACTGCTTTGTGTCAAGACACCCATAAGGGGAACAGTGCTGACTCCAGGGTTTTCAGGGGCCTTTGACACTCAATGTCTCCCCACCCCCCCCCAGACCTCACCACCATTGTCAACAGCTGCTATTGCTGCTCTTCTTTTTTCTCATCACGGCTACTACTTACTTGACAGGCAGAGAACCTGTCTGGAGGCAAAAGAGTTCTTGCTTAACAAGCAATGAACAAGTAGTCAGTGGCATCCACTCCTCCTCCTCACCAGCATCAATGTCTGAACAAGAGGAAGAGGCAGGTGAAGAAGCAAATTGCAATGGTGGTGAGCAGGAACAACTCCAGGGCTCTTACCAGTGGGCTCCTGCTGGGGCTTGAGCTTTGGTCCTGAAAGGACACACAGAATGGCAGCTTAAGTTTGTTTTCTGACTATGGTTGATAGTGGTGCGAAAACATTTCTTTTAGGAACCCTTATCCAGTACAGGAAGTCCTCTACATATGAACCTTCAAGTTACAAACTTTCAAAGATGCGAATGTGTGTTTGCAGGTCCAGTAAGTTCTTTTTTTCTTTTTAACTGTTAATTCTCCTCCCCTCACTAAAGAAAATGGAGCCATCTTTCTGAGAGAATAGGTCTCCTCTGTCTGCTTAGAAAAATGTGTCGCATTTCTTGTTAGGGTCTGAATCTTGAGAGTAGTTTCTCCCCTTTGAGAAATAAGAGTCAGAGGCTGCTGTTTGTGCAAAACAAATGGCTTAGCAGCACCAATGTGGGCTTTGCTGCATGAGTGGTTTCACGGTGGCCAGAAACTCGGTTGCAAACAGAGAGGAGATGGCAGCAGTAAAAGAAACTGCCTTTGCACACAGCTCCAAATGGTCAGGACAAATGAAATGAGGGGAGAACATGAATGGGAGAGAGACTGAGCCCACTTGATCCCCAGATTATTCCGATCATTCACACCTTATTCTTAAAGCCAAAGTGCAAAGCTCTAGCTACTTAATGGCGTGTGTGGTGTGGTGTGCACAGGCTGCAATTATGAATTCGGGCAACCTCAAATATCACTTGTAGTCAAAGTACCAAGGCTGACTTTGCTGACCAACCCTATGCGATAGTCTGAGGCCCTGCAGAAGGGCTGCTTTTTTTTGTTTTCAAGAGATGGACAGGCTGCTTTGCCACCTTTCCTCAGTTAGCTGGGTACCAGGGCTAACTTTATTGGACTTAGGACAAACTGAAGTTATGAACATGCTCTCAGAATGGAACTTGTTTGTATGAAGGGGACTTTCTGTATTACTACACTTCTCACTGAAGTATACTTGATATGTCAAAGAACCCTGGGGACAATATTTGAAAACCAGCATTAAAAGCATATATGTTATTGTTCAACGCTGAATTATTTCCCTCCAGAAAGTAACAACTCATGTTGTTGATGGGGGGGGATGTTTTCTTTTTTTCTTTCTTTCAGGACTCTGAATCCCTTGATACCTATATCCAAAATACACTTTCCTCTCTCTATCCACCGTTTGAGGCCACCGCTGCTACTGTGCTGTGGCAGCTTTTCAGCATTGTTGAAAAATCCTATAAAGGAGATGGTCTTAGATGTCTAATTGATTTCCTCGTTCCTGCCAAGAGAGTCTTACAGTGTATTCAGCGGGAAACCTGTGTAAGTATATTTGGCAAAACAGAGACTTCCTTTGTTCATGATTTAAGAATGAGAAAAAAAAATAAGACAGGGGTTTAATCTTTAAACTACTAAGCTTTCTTAATGTTGCTAATGAAACCCTAGATAGTCATGGGAAAGCGTGCATTCTACTAAGACACTGAACCAGAAGTATCAGGAAAAAAGAAGAAAAACGTACTTGCTTTGCATTTTGCTGGGAATGTAATTCTGTGTATACTTAAACCTAAACTGGTGCATAGTTGCCAGATATGGATATAGCTCATGGTACATTATAGAAGAAATGAAAGATATTTTATTTGTCAATGAAAACGGTCTAATGCTAAACGGAGAAGTAACAGAGGAATAAAAATTATTAGTGATTTTTGGACAAATTTTGAGTGTGCAGGGTTAGGTATTGAAAGTATTAGTCCAGATTTATTACTGGCTCATAAACATTTGTAGGTTTTTTCAGATAGTAATAATCAACCAGAGGCAGTTAATAGACTGTTTTAAATTTGTAAGGGGACATTTTCTAGTGTTCCTTCTCCAACCTGGTGTGTCCTAGATGCAAAGGGTGCTGGGCTGGGGTACACTGGGCAGATACAGCCCACAGGGGTTCCCCACTCCATCTGCTAGTTTTTTCCCCAGGCCCCAGGCCTCAGTACATCTCCCAAGTCCCACCATTTTCCCCAGCCAAGCAGAGAAAAACTCTTTATTTTTCATCAGAGTTGAAAGATTTTCAGTGGGCAAAACCTCTGCCATCACTGATCAGAGTTAAGAAAATTTCCCTGCTCTGCCTTTTCCAGTACTTGGACCTTTAAAATGCCTCCCTTGGAATCAATACAGGCTCTTTAAAAGAAATATTGCAGTGTAGGTTGCATTTTCAGTGGGCTGGGTTGCCTTTCCTTATCAATCCACAGGGCTTGCCCTCCCTTTCCAACACTGTGACCCTCCTACTCTGAACAGTTTTTTTCTGCCAGTGATTAAAATGTTAATCCTTCCATTATATAGGAAGCTTCTGCCTCCAGCACTAGTAGTGACTTGGCAGGAACCAGTCTTTCTCTAGTAATGATTTCTTCAGTCTTTCTCTAGTAATGATTTCCTGGCATATAACTCTTGGAAGGCAAGATGGAACTTTGACTTAGAGACATCTGTAAGGATAGGGGTACACAAACATGGCAGGCATTCCTCTTGTTTTTTTTTTTTTTTAAGTGTGACATTCCTGCACTTGTGCTGTACTTTGGAGGCAGTCCAAATAGATTCAAATTTCAGGTGTTGTAAAAGACAAGAAGCTGCCCCTCAGGGAGGATCAGGGTTGTGACAGGAGCACATTTTGGCTTTTAACACCAACCAAAATTTGTGTAAAGAGCTTTATGTCCAGTTAGGAGTAGAATGTAATTTGCTTCCATATTTGGGCCTCAACGAAACTCAGTTCTGATTTATTTTCATTTGAAAACAGGAAAGAACTTGCTGATATGAGGGACAAGAGCTGCTGGTGGCTAATGGAACAAATTAGTCCTTCTTGTACAAAGCAAAATCCTTTGCTCTTCTCAACCAAATGGCAGTGGGTGTAACCTAAGCTGAACAAGATAAATTCTCTGTAAAGAAACGCTGAATTAAATAACATATAACTTACATAAATCCAGCAAAATTAGGTATTTTAGGCATTTTCTTTGTTTAGCCTGCTTTTGGTACCTGTGGGGTAGCATAAAGGGTTATGCAGGGCACAGGAACTCTTCCCCAATAGCAGAAATATTATTAAGTCACTCTGATGTCTTCTGAGATTTCAGTGTATATTGCTCATACATTGTCAAATGTACCCTCACCACCACAAAGACTAGAAACTAAAAGCTATTTTGGCCAGAATTCCTATCAGCCTTAGCCAGCATAGCCAGTAAGAAGTGTAGACCAAAATATCTGGGGGCCACAAGCTGGGAGCCACTGATCAAGTAATATCAGCATTTCACTCCTATCTCGATTTAATGGATAGACGTGAATGGCAATATATATGGACAGGTAATTCAGCATTGTTGTTGTTAGTCGCGAAGTCCATCCATCGCGATGCCATGGGCAACATTCCTCCAGGCCTTCCTGTGCTCCACCATCCCCCGGAGTCCACTTAAGCCCGCACCCACTGCCCCAGTGACTCCATCTAGCCACCTCATTCTCTGCTGTCCCCTTTTTCTTTTGCCATCTATTGTTCCCAGCATTAGGCTCTTCTCCAGGGAGTCCTTCCTTCTCATTGGGTGGCCAAAGTATTTGAGTTTCATCTTCAGTTTCTGGCCTTCTAAAGAGCAGTCAGGATTGATCTCCTCTAGGACTGACCGGTTTGATCACCTTGCGGTCCAGGGGACTCACAGGAGTCTCCTCCAGCACAATTCAAAGGCCTCAATCCTTTGGTGCTCAGCCTTCCTTATGGTCCAGCTTTCACAGCCATACATTGCAACTGGGAAAACCATAAGCTTGACAATACGCACTTTTGTTGGCAGGGTGATGGCTCTGCTTTTTAGTATGCTGTCTAGATTTGCCATAGCTTTCCTCCCCAGGAAAAAGTGTCTTTTAATTTCTTGACTGCAGTCCCCGTCTGCAGTGATCTTGGAGCCCAGGAAAATAAAATCTGTCACTAACTCCATTTCTTCCACATCTATTTGCTAGGAAGTGAGAGGACCGGATGCCATGATCTTAGTTTTCTTAATGTTGAGTTTCAAGCCAACTTTTGCACTCTCCTCCTTCACCCGCATCAAGAGGCTCTTTAGTTCCTTTTCATTTTCTGCCATGAGAGTGGTATCATCTGCATATCTGAGGTTGTTGATACTTCTCCCAGCAATCTTAATTCCAACTGGTGATTCATCTTGCCCTGCCTTTCTCATGATGTGCTCTGCATATAAGTTAAATAGGCAGGGCGACAGTATACAGCCTTGCCGAACTCCTTTCTCAAATTTGCACCAATCAGTGGTTCCGTGTCCAGTTCTCACTGTTGCTTCTTGATCCACATATAGGTTTCTCAAGGGACAAATAAGATGGTCTGGTACTCCCATCTCTTTAAGAACTTGCCACAATTTGTTGTGATCCACACAATCAAAGGCTTTAGCATAGTCAATGAAGTAGAAGTAGATGTTTTTCTGGAACTCCCTAGCTTTCTCCATGATCCAGCATATGTTGGCAATTTGATCTCTACTTCCTCTGCCTCTTCGAAATCCTGCCTATACTTCTGGTAGTTCTCGGTCCACATACTGCTGGAGCCTAACTTGTAGGATTTTGTGCATAACTTTGCTAGCATGTGAAATGAATGCAATGGTGTGGTAGTCTGAACATTCTTTGGCATTGCCCTTCTTTGGGATCGGAATGTAAACTGACCTTTTGCAATACTGTGGCCACGGTTGAGTTTTCCAAATTTGCTGGCATATTGAGTGTTTGGGAGGGCATTATATCCCCAAAAAACTAGTTGGAGAACTGGGTGTTAATTTTCGTTATAATGCAGAAATTGTTCAAACAAGCAATGACTTCTAAATTGAAAATATTACTAGAGAACTTGAATATCCCTGTTTGGTCACAGACACACAGAACCTGATTAAAGTTTCTAGTAAGCCTTTTTTCCATCCATTGAAACCAATTGATTCTCTAGCTGGCTTCTGTGAGGAAGAAGGGGTGAAGCAGAAGGAGAGAGCAGTTGCCCACATTTACCATATTTTTCACTCTATAAGACGCACTTTTTTCCCCCTCAAAAGTAAGGGGAAATGTCTGTGCATCTTATAGAGCGAATGTGTGTGTGCCCAACGCCCGGGACGCTGCCGGCCCGCCTGCACCACGTGGCACCACCTGGCCGGCATGTGCTCGGCGCGCACTGCTCCGCCCCCCCGGTCCGGCGCAGGTGAGAGCTGTGCCGCTCAGGGGGAGCGGTGCGGAGGAGGAGGAGCCGTGTGCTTTAACCCGCCGGCCATACGGAGAGATGGACTGCTCACCCCCGCCACCCGGGAAGACTTGCCACGGAGGAGGAGGAGCCGCGGGCTTTAACCTGCCGGCCACATGGAGAGACGAACTGCTCACCCCCACCGCCTGGGAAGACCTGCCGCCGTGCCGCCCAGAAGACCACCACTGGCACGCTGCCGTCCTGGCTGCACCACACCTGGCCGGCACACACTCGGCGCGCCCTGCTCCGCCCCCCTCCTCCGGCGCAGGTGAGAGCTGTTAATCACAGGTTGGTGTGTGTTTTCAAATGGCAACTTGTCTTTTAATGAAGCCCATGGGGAAGTGATGGGGAATGTGCCTGTGATTATCAGGAAGCTTTCCATGGATCCCTCCTCTAAAAACTAGGTGCGTCTTATGGTCAGGTGCATCTTATAGAGCAAAAAATACGGTATATCTTGTGAACTGCAAGTTTCTCAGGAATGCAGCTTTTCAGGAAATCACTTGAAGGTTTATAGCCCCCAGACTACAACTCAGTAGGGAGGTGAAAGGATTTACAACCCAATGTTTGTGCAAAGTACAGAGCTTCAACAGGAGTTAGAGTAAGGGGTGTAGTGACTATTTAATTGAAGCCACATAAGGGACAGTTCTGTTTCCACTGAGTACTATATGCAATTATTCATTGCCCTGATGACAGAGTGTTCAGCCCTCACATGCCATTTTTCTCTTGCTTTGCCTCACCAAGTCAAATTTCCCCATAAGGGTCAATGTAAGGGTTAAGCCATTCTGCAACAGTTTTTTTTACTCACAAAAATATGAAGCAAAGTGACAAAGAAGAACATAGATCACCACCCCCCCCCCGCAGCGATTGTTGGGGGGGGGAGACGGGCGTGATCCCGGGCGCGTTGGGGGGAGGCAGGTGCATGTGCAGGCGCACCTGGGCAGGGAACACAGGCACAGTCACGGCCATCTCCCCCCCCAGCATGAACACAGCCATCTCCCACCAGCGTGACCGCAATTGTGCCCATGCAGGGAAGGTGGACATGCTCGCAATCGTCACCTGATGCAGAGTTCACAACCTGTGGCAAATATTTTAT